CAGAGGTGTCTTGAAAGACAGGCCTGGCAATCAGCTTCTAAAAGCTCCAGCCTTGGAAACTCTATGGTGTGCAGTTGTATGCTGTACAGATGGGGTCACCCACCGAGAGTCAGAATTGACTCAACGGAAACTGACAACCGGGTGGCACTGATGCACAGTCAAGTTGGAGAAGCCCCTCGGTGGTTCTGAGGACTGAATGAGAGAATGGACAGGATCACATACATGGGCACAGCACCTAGTATGTTCTTAGGGCTCGGCCGTTCCAGTGGCGTTCCTGTGCAATGGCCAAGTTGGGAGCAGAGGATGTGCTGAGTAAGGGTTTGGGGAGAGTCTGAGAGGTCACCCCAGAGAGGTCAAGAGGCGCATGTCCTGTAACCCATGAAAGGGCTCACCTACAAGAAGTAGAGTCTTAATAACTATAGGTGGAAAACTGTCCACATATTTCCCACTTTGTGCAAAAACTGATTACGTATCTGGGAATACTACTGCTAAATGTGACCCTTTAACATTGTGATTTTGTAGACTGCGTGTTTTCTTTTTATTGATACAGGCACTTTGGAGGAACCTTAGCCACTGACAGTCTCAACCACTACCTGAAATTGATAACTTCCCTGAGCAACACCGTGAATGAGGAGAATGACTACATAACTACAACACAAAGAGAGCCCTTAGGCTTGGGATCAGAATGCGAACAGACAGTTGAGTTCCCACAGAGCTTTCTTTCTCTTTTTTATTAGAGATCAATTTTCAACGTGTGGTTATCTTTAAGCAGTTATTTAGTAATACCCTTCTTGACCCAGGTAGTCCTTGATTTTCAAAAAGAGTATGAGTTACAGCTGAGATTAAATATTGAGATTTCCTCAAAGCAATCACAAATATTACATCTCCTATGTCATTCAAACCATAATATAAAGATCTGGGTCTGCCTGGGGGAAAAACATAAAAAAACAACAACATTGTATTAGCAATGCTGGTGCTCTGCCAGATAGGTCTCTCCAGGATTTTATATCACAGAGATTATTTAGGAGTCCCTGGGTAGTGCAAGCAATTGACATGCTCACTGGGAATTGAAAGGGTTGAGTCCACCTCAGAAGAAAGGCCTGGCAATCTATTCAGAAAAAAAACAGCAACTGAGAACTCCATGGAGCACAGTCCTGCTGTGACACACGTGAGGTCGCTACCCATTGGAGCTGACTTGATGGCAACCAGTTTATTCTCTATTATTAGGAAGATCCTAGTCAGGAAACAGCATGCAATCCATTGTTTAACAAATAGTCCTTGAGAGCCTGCAGAGCACAAGACTGTGGAGATATAACAGGAGCTCTGGTAGCATAGTGGCTAAAGCACTTGACTGCTAACTAGAAGGCTGGAGGTTCAAACCCACCAGCCACTCCTCGGAAAGAAGGTTGGGCAATCCTACTTCCGTAGTGATACTGCCTCGGAAACCCAAGGAGGGGTCGCTATGAGTCGGGGCCGACTCGACGGTACATAACCACAACCACAACCAAGACAGAAAAAAAGTTTCTGCTCTCCTAGGAGCTCTGGTGGTGCAGTTATTAAGGCATTCAGTGGCTAACCAGAAGGCCCATAGTGGCTGGACGAGGTGTTCTATGGGACAGGAGGCTGTGGGCAGACAGCACAGTGGTTACAGTTGAGATATTGGGCAAGTTTGGACAGGATCAAGGGTATGGCCCATGGGAGTGGATGGCGCAATGGAGTGGACATAAGGTCATTGCTATATTTTCCTAAATAAAATAACTGTATTTTTGACTTTCTGATCAACAAATAATAAACTACTTGAAACTTTATATCACTGATGGATTTATACTTTATTAAACACTTGGAAAACAAGTTTAAAAATAAAGGCTGTGTCTTTAACATCTGTCAAGACTTAGGCTTCATCTCTACATATTCAAGGTCAGAAAGCCAGTGTGAAGATGAATGATGTCATCACCATTCAGTTCTGTACTGCGTGAGGTATGCAAACCAAAAACACCAAACCCACTGCCGTCAAGTCAGATCCGATTCATAGTGACCCCTCCTTGGGTTTCCGAGGCAGTATTGCTATGGAAGTAGATTGCCCAACCTTCCTTTCGAGGAATAGCTGGTAGATTTGAACCGCCAGCCTTCTGGTTAGCAGTCAAATGTCTTAGGCACTAAGCCACCAGTTCTGACAGTAATTAAATCAACAAAATATATTATATCTTAGACATGCAAAATGTTTGGTATTACCAAAAACTGCAACAAGTACAGGGGGATTCAAGGCAGTTATAGGGAGTAAGGTAGGAGGAGAAGAACTTGGTGAATTTTAAATTTAATGTAAAAGCTTAAATGTAAGAATTGTCTTTTCCTACGTCATCTCAGGTAAAGCGTCTAAGCATTGACTCCTCACAAGAGGAATTAATCTCAGCTCATGACCTGAAGGAAATTTCCTGGATACAAGCAAAGAGTCAAGAGGTAAATAGAACATGAGGTATGTCTGCAGTCACACTCTGTGAGTGTGCCCAGTAAGTTAGTTTCCTGTGAAAACAGTGGAAAGTAGGAGATACCACTTGGCCGAGCATCACATTCTACAAGTGTAACTTTCCTACGAGGAAATAAAAACCCTTAACACAACTGCATCTTATATAGTAAGAGAGTGAACGTTAAGAACTGTAACGTGGTTAACATGAAACCCGACAAAAGTCCCCAGATAAACAACACAAAGAATGAGTTATGTGCTGTTAGAGTTATGTGCTGGGGACGGTGGGAGGCTCATTAAAGCAAAGGAAGGCAAGAACAGGAGATGGTGGATTGTGGCTTCAGGTGCACAGGGAGGTAAAACAGGTAGGAGGTTGATCCCAGTTTATGTCTGCCCTTAGCCTACTTAGCTAGTCTCAGTAAGTTCCCAGTATAGCATAGGAGGTTTCTTTTGTCAGCTATTCACTATCTAATTTTTCACTACTTAATTATTTTCATTCCATTGACCTTATAACTGACACGAGGTCTAAGTTGTTTAAGTAGTCATTTAAATAGTAGCAATTAGACTTAAGCAAGGTATTATTGTGGTTCTTTTTTTTTTTTTCTTTTTATGTGTACTTTATATTGTCACTATGTGTGTGTGTGTGTGTGTGTGTGTATGTACCTGTTCTAGGGAGACACTATCTGTCTAACCTGCTGTTTCCCTTGCTTTGTTAAGTGATATACTTGCTTCATTTTAGGCCATCAGAAAAGAGGTTAGCCAGTTCTCCAAGAAAAGGAAAGAGATAAAAAAAGGAATCAAAGAACTTGCTAAAACAGTAAGTGTTATGCTTTGACATACTAGCACATTGGGCTGTCAGTCAGAAACCACCACTGGAACTTTATTTTGTTGAACAAGGCACAAAGCACTACCTATATGCATTGTTTTTCCCCACATATGAGCTAATTTCTTGGGGATTTTCACAGGGTAGGATTTTTATCACATCTCACTGTATATAAGCAGTGGTTTTCTTCTCTTTCACAAGTGCTGTATGTTACTTATTTTTTAATCAGAGCAGATCAATCGGTCTTTCTCCTGCAGGGCTGCTGGATGAGTTTGAATGGCCAGCCTTCCAGTTGGCAGCGAACACTTAAACCGTTTGTGCCAGCAGGGCTTCTAAGCAACATTTCCATTATTATAATTTTATATTCCCTGGAATCAATGATTTTCTTTGTTTTAAACTCTTCTATGTTCCAAGTATCTATTCAAACTCTTTCAAAGAGCTAGGACACTCTTCTCAATATACTCAAATATCTGAGGTAATCTGTGCATTTTTTTCCTTGGCAACCTTCCTCCAAGAGCTCCTAGTTTGAGCACCTTGCTCTCTGAGCCAGGGGCAAGGCTGTTGTCCTAGGGACTTCTCTTCCCCATGTTTCTGGGAATCCCCTCACCTGCCTTCTCAGTCAGAACCTCTGTTTTAGTAACCACAGTTGGTCATGTCCTCTGTTGTTGTTTTTGTTATGTGCCGTCGAGTCGGCCCCGACTCATAGCGACCCCTCCTTGGGTTTCCGAGGCAGTATCACTACAGAAGTAGGATTGCCCAACCTTCCTTCCGAGGAGTGGCTGGTGCCTTCTGGTTAGCAGTCAAGTGCCTTAGGCACTATGCTACCAGAGCTCCTTCATGTCCTCTAGTGCTGCTCTAATAGAAAAGACCACAAGTGGGTGGCTTTAACAAACAGGAGCTTATTCTCTTATGGTTTTGGTGGCTAGAAGTGCAAGTTCAAAATACCAAGCTCTAGGGGATTGGTGAAGGAGCTCTGGTGGCATAGTGCCTAAGGCATTTGACGGCTAACCAGAAGGCTGGTGGTTCGAACCCACCAGCCACTCCGAAGGAAGCCTGGGCAATCTACTTCCGTAAAGATTTACCACCTCAGAAACCCAAATGGGGTCACTAAAAATCAAAATTGACTCAATGGCAGTGAGTTTGGTTTGTTTTTTTTTAGGGGTTGGGTGAACCTCAACCTTGGGCTTCAGCTCTGCCTCTTGGTCCTGCCCCATGGAGGCTGGAGGCATCTCTTCACTCAGCAGCTGTCGTCTGCTGAGGCTGACAAACCTAAGGCCGACAAATAAAATGACACAGTCCCAGAATTATCAAACCACATGGCAGGCCACTAATTCGAGTCCATTAACAATCCCAAGATTGGCAGACAACATGGCAGGCTGCTGAATGATGACTCAGCCACATGCAGGATTCAAGTGTGCCAAAAGTTACAGACCAGTCCCAAAGCTTCTCCTTATGCACTGGAAGTAGACCACATCCCTAAGGCAGCTACTCAGCTGACCACAGCAGATTCCACCATGGAGCTGATGACCAGTCTGATCCTGGGGAATCACTACAGCCAGCTGCCCAGCCACTCAACCAGCCCAGCCAAGTTGACACATGACCTTAACTTAATTCAAGTCCATTAACAATCCACAACCACAACAGTAAACCCACAACTTATCCTTTACTTGATGGTTACATGTAGAGAAACAAAATACCAATTTTTTAAGTGATTTTTGTGTAATGAGACTATAAATCCCATCTCTCTAAAGTTTAAATCTTTGCTGGTCACCACCATTTTCTATTTTAAAATTCAGGTTCTGAGTATGATGGAAGAAAATGAAACCGTAAACTATATTGCAAAATTAGACCAGCAGGAATTCAGCCTGGATGTAGAGGAACTGGAAAGACTTCATGATGAAAGTGAGGAAGAAGTGGCAAAGGTATGGAAAATTTTAGTTAAAGCACTGTAAAGTTATAAGGAAAAAAGTAAAAGGAAAATGAGAAAGAGAACTTTCCCAGAATAATGCAAATAAAGCAAAAACTTTTCAAGCATAAAGCAAAGTTAGTACATATGTAGAGAGGGTGGGTCAGAGAATCATTGAATTTTAGTGATAAAGACAATAGCATCTAGGCCAGCCAGACATCTGATGCCTCTCCTCTCTGGCATCCACACCAACTTCTTCCACCCTACGTATAAACAGTTTTAGAAATTTCTTCAGCCACCTCATGCCAACTTTGGACGTTTCTGGTTTAGTAGGCCCCTTCTTAATTAGAGTGAACTCTCTCTCTCCCTGTACTCACTGATCCTTCTGCTCTCTGCACACCATCTGTTCTAGAGACAATCTGAAAATGGTTGAAGGAGTTAAGCAATTACCATTTTCCCTGTGTGTCTTCTCTTGTCTAGGCTGACTATCCAGCACCTGTGACCCTCACGTAAGGTAGCTTCATTAGCCTCATCATGCAGTTTTCCTGATCTCATTATGTCTGAATTGTTGTTAGGTGCTATCGAGTCAGCACGGACTCACAGCGACCTTATGTACAACAGAATGAAACACTGCCCAGTCCTGCACCATCCTCCTAATCGTTGCTATGTTTGAGCCCATTGTTGCAGCCACTGTGTCAGTCCATCTTGTTAAGGGTCTTCCCCTCTTTGGATGACCCTCTACTTTACCAAATATTATGTCCTTCTCCAGAGACCAGTCCCTTCTGAAACAAAAAGTATGTGAGATGAAGTTTGACCATTCTCACTTCTAAGGAGCGTTCCAGCTGTGCTTCTTCCAAGACAGATTTGTTCACTTTTCTGGCAGTCCATAGTATTTTCATTATTCTTCACCAACATCACAATTCAAATGCATCAATTATTCTTTGGTCTTCCTTTTTCATTGTCCAACTTTCACATGGATATAAAGCTATTGAAAATACAAGGTTTGGCTTAGGCACACCTTAGTCTTCAAAGTGATATCTTTGATCTTTGTTGTTGTTGTTGTTGTTATGTGCCGTCGAGTCAAACCCGACTCATAGCGACCCCTCCTTGGGTTTCCGAGGCAGTATCACTACGGAAGTAGGATTGCCCAACCTTCCTTCCGAGGAGTGGCTTTGATCTTTAACACCTTAAAAAGATCTTTTGCAGCAGATTTACCCAGTGCAATATGACATCTGACTTTTTGACTGAGGCTTCCAAAGGCATTGATTGTGGATCCAAGTAAAATTAAATCCTTGACAACTTCAATCTTTTCTTCATTTATCATGATGTTGCTTATTGGTCCAGTTTTGAGGATTTTTTTTTTCTTCATGTTGAGGTATCATCCATACTGAAGGCTGGATTCTTTGATCTTCATCAGTAAATGCTTCAAGTCTTCTTCACTTTCAACAAGCAAGGTTGTGTCATCTGCATATCGCAGGTTGTTAATGAGTCTTCCTCCAATCCTGACGTTGAATTCTTCTTCATAAAGTCCAGCTTCTCAGATTATTTACTCAGCATACAGATTGAATAAGTATGGTGAACGGATACAACCCTGACACACACCTTTCCTGGTTTTAAACCATGCAGTATTCCCTTGTTCTATTCGAACTACAGCCTCTTGGTCTATGTAGAGGTCCTCATGAGCACAACTAAGTGTTCTGGAATTTCCATTCTTCATAATGGGAATTAACAAATAACAAATTAACCATAATTTGTTATGCTCCATACAGTCAAATGCCTCTGCATAGTCAATAAAACACAGATAAACTTCTGGTATTCTTTGCTTTCAGTCAAGATCCATCTGACATCAGCAATGATATCCATCATTCTGTGTCCTCTTCTGAATCTGGCCTGAATTTCTGGCAATTCCCTGTCAATGTACTGCTTCACTGTTTTTGAATTCTCTTCAGTAAAATTTTACTTGTGTGTGCTGTTAATGATATTGTTCAATCATTTCCACATTCTGTTGGATCACCTTTCTTTGGAATGGCCAGTCAGTTGGCCAGGTAGCTGTCTTCCAAATTTCTCAGTACAGATGAGTGAACCCTTCCAGTATTGCATCTGTTTTTTGAAACATCTCAATTGGTATTCTGTCAACTATACTTTGAGGAGGGAGCTATTATGAGTGCCTTTCAAGTGCAAGGGGCTCATAATCTGGCATTATATCAGACAATGTCCTGCTGATGCTATTCAAAAGATTTCCATCAGCCAGTTTTTTCAGAAGTAGGTGGCCAGGTCCTTCTTCCTAGTCTGTCTTAGTCTGGAAGTTCCACTAAAAGCTGTCCACCATGGATGACCTTGCTAATATTTACCAGTATCATCGTTTCCAGGATCATATGCAAGCCGCCACAGTATGACAAACTGACAGATGAGTTGTGGTGCAAGTATAAAAAAATATTTATTCTCTGAATCAAAGAATGAAATATAGCTGGATCCAAGGACATTTAGGTAGAGCACACATGGTTAAAGAACTACACCAAATGGAGGCTTGTTATCTGATTATCTAGAGGGGAGGTTTCTACTTGATAAGCCCCAGGGCTCTGTTAAAGACGTTTATCAGTGACTAAGGTAAAGATACAGAAAGGAAGCAGGCTTGTCTAATTAGTGAATGAGGTGAGGCTGGGCAGGATAGGAAATACACTGGATGTGAATCAGGACTAAATGGCTCTCAATGGACAGAGTCAATAAAATAAAACTCACCTGAGATCATCATTAATCCATTCACTCCTTCATTCTGCCACATTTATCACCATCCTTCAGTATTTCTGCTAGCCTCATTCTAGGTCCTGAGGCTATAACAATGAACAAGACGGACAGGTGGCCCAGTGGGTCCACACCCCCTTCCTCATCAATTGGGCAGGGTAGTGCTGATGGCATTCCGGCTCACCTGTGACCCTCCTTTTTACCCAGTGAGGTGTCTGTCCTCGTACCCCACTTCTTTCACATGTATGACCTACTCCCCTGAGAAGCATTTACGTTGTTACCCAGTTTTCAAGGATTCCTACAGACATAAACTTAAGGAAACATCCTCAAAGACAGACAAGTGTTATCCCCAAAGTACAGCTCAATGGATTGCAACTCACACTCTGTCACTAAATGTGTGGCAGTGACTTGTATGCTATCATGTCAACTCCGACCCAGTGACGCTATAGGACAGAGTCATTGAATTTTGAAAACTGAGATTATTTGTTTAAGAAACTACACTTTCATTTTCAACTTTTCCATTCACCTATGTTCTTCAAGATAAAAAATGACACAGAAATGGGTAACCTAGCCAAGAGATATTTGACTGAACTTATCAAAGAAGAATGCTGGAATTCGATGGCTGTGAAAGGGCGAGCTCTTAAGGTAACGTATATAACCCTGATGTAAACCTGGACCGATGAGAACTTTCCTTGCACATCTGGTAGTAGAAATTTTAAAATATATTTAAGAAAACCCACATACAGCAAAAAACTCAAAGCTTCCCTCTGCCTCTTCAGAGTCTACAGAATTCTACCATCACTTTCTCTAGAACCTCTTCTTTCCTCTCCACTTGTTCCCAATGGCTTTTTAACCAGAATCTCTCAATATTTGTCTTAGCAGCCCTTTCCTTCTTTCCTGTAAAACTGGGTCTTAATAGCTAGCTATTTCAAAAGACCACCCCCCTAACATTCCACACTGATTCAGAGCTGGGCATCACGTCGGCCACTTCTCCTTCTGTGTCTGCCTTCACATTGGCTAAAGAGCTTTTGTATTGTGGTTCCTTCCAACACAATTTCTCTCTTTGGGTAGCATCACCAAAAGTCCTGGTTTATGCCTGTGGTCCTAGAGTATTAACTGCACCTCTTTAGAAAATGCTGCCTTTGGATATGATCACCCTACATTTACGTACATACATTTACAGAGTGTTGCGCTACAGCAATATTTCTCAACAACAGCACTATCAACATTCTGAGCTGGATAATTCTTTGGAGAGCTGTCCTGGGCACTGTAGAATGTTTAACAATTAAACACCAGTAGCACCTTCCCCATCAATCATGACTATCGAAAATGTCTCCAGACATTGCCAAATGTCCCCTAGGGGCAAAATAAATCTATTGCCATCCAGTCATAACACCTCTATAGGACAGAATTGCCCCTAGATTTCCTAGGCTGTAAATCTTTACAGAAGCAGACTGCTACATCTTTCTCCCACAGAATGGCTGGTAGATTCAAGCTGCCAACTTCTCTGTTAACAGCCTAGCACTTAGGGCTCTTTACAGACAAAATAGCCCCTAATTAAGAACCACTGCTCTAACTAGTAGCAAAGTTCAACAAGACAGAAAATAACAAATGCTGGCTAGGATGCAGAGAGATTGGGACTCTCATACACTGCTGGTGGGACTGTAAAATGATACTGCCACTGTAGAAAGCAGTATGATGACTCCTTAAAAAGTTGGAATTAGAAATACCATTTGACTCAGCCATTCCATTACTAGGTATATATCCTAAAGAAGTAAGAGCCAGCATAAGAACAGATGTATGCACACTCATGTTCATTGCAGCACTGTTTAAATACAATAGCAAAAAGATGGAAACCGCCTAGGTGCTCATCAACAGAAGAATGAATAACCAAACCATGGTACATATACACTATGGATTATGATGCAACCCTAAAGAATAACGTAGAATCTGCAGAACACCACATAATGTGGATGAACTTGCAGGGCATTATGCTGAGTGAAATAAGTCACAGAAGGACAAATATTATATTAGTCTGTTATTGTAAAAAGTCAAGGAAATGTTTCTATATGGAAGGAAATTTTCTTTGTTGGTTACCAGTGGTGGTGGGGGGGGGAGGGAATACTGCTAGATAGGTAGAGACAAGTATTGATTTGAATGCAGGGAAGGGCAATATACAAAATGTGAGTGATCAACATGGTGGCATTGAGGAAGAGAAAGACATAGAGAGGTGCATGGGAGGTACAGACAACAGAGATGACCCCTTTTGCCCATACAGTACTGCATTGTCTGTGATGGCAAATGTTGATATATGGGTGGATAGATGGGTGGACAGGCTGAAAGATTATGTATGTCTTTGCAGGGGGGAGTGTGTCCAATACTATGTATAGGGTTGGCAGACAATGTTTCTATAAGTGTATTTGTATGTTCTGTAAGAATTTCCAGGTATATAGTAGCGCTGACAAGGGGCAAATTTGTAGTCACTTCTTGGCCACAGCCAGCTACCCAGAGGGAGCGAGTTGTCAGACCTGTGGGTTCGGGACCATGGTTGCAGGTGACATCAAGCTCAATTGACATAACATACTACACAAAAACGTTGTTCCACATCCTACTTTGGCAAGTAGCGACTGAGATCTTAAAAGCTTGCAAGCAGCCATCTAGATGCAATAATGGGTCTCTCCTCATCCACAGCAAAGAAGAATAAAGAAAACCAAAGACACATGGAAACAATTAGTCCAAGCGACTGGTACACACTGTGATCCTCAGTCTATATGACCATGAGACCAAAAGAACTAGATGGTGCCTGGCTACCACTGTCAACCACTCAGATGGGAATCTATTAGGAGACCCTGGATAGAGTGGGAGAACAATGTGGAACAAAACTCAAAATCATTAAAAAAAAAAAAAAAGGGGGTGGGGGTGGGGACCAGGTTTGCTGGTCTCATAGAGCCTGGTGGAACCCCTGAGACTATGGCCCCTAGCTGCCCTTCAGGTCTGGAACTGAACCCACTCCTGTGGCTTCCAGCCAAACAAAAGACAGGCATGTGAGCTGAACATTCACATTAGGTAGATACACTCCTTGGAGAGATCAATCATGGGAGAGTAGAAGCACTGTGTATGCTCAGGGAGACAGCTCAGGGGTCAGGAGTGCATGGAGGGAAGGACACAGAAAAGAGGTAACTATGGGGAGGAAGTGGGAGGGAGCTGTTGCATTGTGGGAAATTGTAGTCAATGTCATGAGACAAAGTGTATGTGAACTACTATATGGAAAATGAATATGCTCTGTAAATTTCCACCCAAATCACAATAAAAATTTGAAAAAAAAAAACTTGTAGAAAAATACTCTTCATAAAAGCATATTTTTCTACAAAAGTTGTACCAATACAGTAGTCCCCCTAGATCCACATGGGATACATTCCAAAACCTCCAGTGAATGCCTAAAACTAGGATAGTACCAAACCCCTATCTATACTATGTTTTCTCCTATACATACATACTTATAAAGCTTAATTTATAAATTAGATACAGTAGGAGATTAACAACAAAATTAATAAAATAGAGAACAATGACTAAGTACAATAAGGGTTACTTGAGCGTAAGCCCTGTGGTGCTGATAATTGAGCCAGCTACTAATTGAGGCATCTGCAGTGTGGATATACTGGACAGCCCAGGTGGGATGGAGCGAATTGGAGCAAGATTTCATTGCACTACTCAGAAAAGTGGGCATTTTAAACTTAAGAATTGTTTATTCCTGGAATTTTCCACTTAATATTTTCGGACTGCATTTGACCACAGGGAAACCGTGGAAAGTGAAACCATGACTAAAGGGGGACTACTATCCTAATGGAATATGTTGTTGTATTTTAAAGTTGTTTCCATTGCCAATTTCACTTATGGATGATATTCTATTTATGACATGAATTTTAAGAGGGGAAAACACCCTCCAGCCCACCTCCAGATATACACAATGGTACTAAAAATTGACTTACCACATCTTTCTTTCTTTCCCAAGTGCTTCCACATACCCTATGTAGTTGAGAACTTCCCAATGAAAGAGCGCACAGCTGAAGAGTTGAAAGAACTGGAGAAAGTTTTACAACAAAAGAAGATTGAAACTGAGTGTCTTAAAGTACAGTTTTAAATATATATTTATATATATATATATATATATTCTTATTTACTAGGCATTTTGTTTCGGAATCTCCATCTTGATTTCAGTTGGCATGCAATTTAAGATGAATGTAGACACTGTTTGTATTTGTATTTTCACTCCTGGTTAATCCCTAGCACATATTCTAGTGACTATGTTATAGCCACACAATAAATCACAGACTTACATCCTATACAACACTGGCTAGTCTTCAAATATGAGAATATACTGAAAACTGAGATTTGAGGATTATTTTCTTGTCCTAGTCAGAGGTTGTCTTCATCTATTGATACTATTTTTATCCTCCCTTATCACCAGGGATCATATTTTAAGATAACTGAATAAGGATAGAATAAAATATGTTTTGATAGAATTAAGGTTTACCTTAAAACAACCTCCACTTCTTTAGCAGCAATCTCTGTGCAACCAATAAAATAGGTGGACCCTTTGATATAGTTTCATTTTAGCCAGAACTTCACGTCTTCTCTTTTCTGAAATGTAAAATGAAGGAATACTTAGTTCTTTTTAATCTATACCCACCAGTCTTATGTGAACTCATTGCTTTGTACAAGATAGAGAGAAAATATAGTTTATAATGCAGTAGCAAGAAAGACTGAAAATACTTACAAGCAGGTATGATCCTGCCACAAGAATACACACAATATATACTATCAAGGACAGTTTTTACCCTCTTGATTTACATGGTGTCTCTGTTTCTAAAGCTTTTATTTGTTCTATAACAGTTTCAGGATCTGTCCATCACCTCAAATTCCGTTTTTGGCAAGAGAATTTAACATCTTAAAATGATTATTGAAATCATTAGGTTGTAAAAAAAAAATGACTTTTAGAGAATTTTCATTATTGAATAACTTCCATGTCATTTTTTCCTGTTTTAGGTACGGCAGGAAATTGTAGAGGTTCAGTCTGCAGTTTCCTTGGGTAAAAAGCAACATGAAGAGGATGATGAAGAAGAGGAAGAAGAAAATGTGCCAGTGCAAGACACCAACTTGCCCAATTACCTGCTTGGCAGTCTGAGTACTGATTTTGGGGTAGATACCTCTTTTTTGTCAAGCCAGTTGGAACTTCATTCAAGAGAGGAGAAAATCAACCAAATTGTATTACTGAAGGTGGGTGAATTTTCTCCTTGTCCTCAAAAGTCTCTCAAATTCCCCCCATCAGATGTTATTATTCAAGGCCTCACATTGAAGTCTAATGTCAGCCAAAATGATGTCTTTAAAGAACATGAAGAAATTTACAGATGGCTAGGATGTACATCCTTGAGAGTGCTTATATACAAGAGTCACTGTCACCCATTTGGACTGGGTTTTATTACTGGGTTTATAAATAGCATCTTACATGGATTGGCACCACAAACCATTATTATTCTTCTTAGGTCTTCAGTAAATCCAAAATAAAAGAAACCCTTGAATGCCATCCTCTGTATCACTCAGATGTCTATTAGGATCTCTTTGTAAGGTTAAGATATGATTATTTGTCTATCCCCTTAATCTCAGGAAATACTATTTCCTCCTGAAGATATCTGTAAGTTCTCAGGCTCGGGGATAAGGGATGGTGTCCCTCTGGCTCTAAGCTCCTGCTCCTTACTTTCCACCAAGCAAGTCAGTCTTGGAACACATCTGCACACGTAGAAAACCCTGTTGAAGGTTTTCGAAAATGGAAGGACTGAGACTACACCAATGCAGATGGTTTGAAATTTAGTGCTGGATGTTTTGTTTCTGGAAGTGCCTCAGCCAGGTCTGCAGTTTGAGTCCTAGCATCCTGTCACATTGCTCCGCTCTCTCCTCCCATCCTTCTCTGGTGTTCTCCGCCAACCCCTGAAATTACTGTTCATGTACACTCAGAACTCAGAGCATTTATCCTCAGAAGTTATCTCCTTTGTGCTTAGCTTCTGCTGACCCATGTCCTCAAGTTCTCACCTTATGGCTACTTTATGAAGGTATTTTCCTATGCAAAGGTACTTTGCAGCCAAAGAGAAACTCTAGTGCCAGAAGTTAAGATCATTTTCCATCCTACTGCAGTAGTTTCGTCTTCACTAGAGTATATATATAGACTGAACTTGACGGTAAAACAAAACCTACTCTGAGTTGACCATTGCTCGATTCATCAGCAGTGGTAGGAGCAATCCAGTGACCTCCTGCCATTTTAGAAACTGCCTGATCCAACTGGATAGCTTAGGTTCCCTTTCTATTTGAGAATGGCGTGTCTGAATAAGGAAGAATATTGTGTGTGCTTGTGTTTGGGAAATTCTCCAAACAACCTCTAAGGCCATCTCCTCCTCTCAAATAAAAGACACTTCCCAACTTAAATTCTGCATGTTGCTTTTTAAATGCTTTATAATGGATTTAAATAGAAAAAACAATAAAACATGTACAAAGTGGAGAGTCTAGCCAATGAGCTTCTAAGTACCCATTACCCTGCTTCAGCATTTATCAACATACCTGTATATTGAGTTATAGCTTACATTTCAGGAAATAGGTTGTGGTATAACTGCTATGTTGTTGTTGTTAAGTGCCGTCGAGTCGTTTCCGACTCATAGCGACCCCATGCACAGCAGAACGAAACACTGCCCGATCCCGCGCCAGCCCCACAACCCCTGCTATACTTGAGCCCATCATCGCAGCCACCGTATCAATCCATCTCCTTGAAGGCCTCCCCCTCTTTCGTCGACCCTCCACCCTACCAAGCATGACATCCTTCTCCAGGGAATGGTCCCTTCTTACAACATGAATAACTGCTATGCTTTTGCCTTAATCATATCTCTGGTCAGATGCCACTTTGTATTATTGAACCAAAAAAAAGTGATTTAATATAAACAATATTTTAGAAAGATTAATTTACCAATAATTTGTAGAATGACTTTGGAAGGAAAGGTAGAATTATGGGACCATATTGCCATTGAAGATATAATTTGTGACATGCTTTCAGTAACATATTGATGTTTCAGGATATCATCTACAAGGTTAAAACTGTTTTTAATAATGAGTTTAATGCTGCATATAAACAAAAAGAGTTTGAAATCGCACGTGTAAGGGAAAGAAATGTGAGACTTCAAGAAATTATTTTGGATCTGGAGTTGGAAGAAACAGTCTGGCAACCCGAATTTGAAGAATGTGAAAAGCCAGAGAGAACGCTTGTTGTGGAAGACAGTGAGGTACTGGCTGGTTCTGTCATCCCTCCCTTCTTCTTCAGTACATTTTCCTGACCTCTTACTTACTCATGTTGACCCTGCTGGAAGGGATTGCATTGGGTAGCACTCTTGGGTACAAGAAAGACAGCCCCAGCAATAATACAGTTTCTTTTATGAATCCCATGGAGTCCAGGGAAGATATGGACACCAAACTAGAGCAAAGAGGAACCAAAGATTGGAGCGTGTGGGAAGTCCAGGAATCCTTACTGCATCTCTCAGCTCATTTCTCTCTGTATCTCAGCTTCCTCCAGCAGTGTCTTCTTTCTGTGTCCCCTACTCAAGAGAGCAGCTGGTCTGAACTGGAGTCTCTTAGTCCCAATTCCAGGTTTTCCTGGAAAGAGACTACTGGCTCAGCGTGGGTCCACTGCTTGTGCACGGGGAAGTTGGGTCACATTGTGGGAATGAGGCTGATGGAGCTCCAGTAATTATGTAGGTCATTCGGATGATAGAGTTCCCAGAGAAAGGGGGCTCAGTGGACAGCCTTATTAGAGGGTGTTTGGTACAGAGGTGCTTGCGAATAAGTCCTTAAAGAAAACAATTAAAACATGATGATATTTCATTTTTCAAAAATTAAAATTAAAATCTTAGAAGCTACTCAAAGATAACTTGCTGCTTACATGAAGCCAACTTGATTGCTTTGGGGCAAAAGATAATAACAGTGCCTCTGGTGGCATAGTGCCTAAGGCATTTTGACTGCTAACCAGAAGCCTGGTGGTTCAAACCCAACAGGAAGGTTGGGCAATCTGCTTCCATAGTGATATGGCCTTGGAAGGTCAAGGAGGGGTCGCT